TTTCGTTGTTCCCTTCTTATACCCTTCTATCCTTAGTATTCCCATTTGAACTTTTATGTCACATGATAAATCTTTTTTATTTCCATCTACTTTATACATGTAGGTGTCTCTGTATTTAAAATATGCTTTCTTCATGCCATACCCACACATCATAAACACACACACACACACACACACACACACACAGGTTGAAGTTGGGTATGGTGCAGTGCACCTGTAACCTGCAGAGACAGAAGACCTCTCAGGAGGACCAAGAGTTAAGGGCAGCCTTAGCTACCTAGTAAGACCCCATCTTAAAAATAAATAAAGAAAAAAAATTGGTTGCCATATTCCTGACTGAAAGGGGTGGGGGGGGTGACCAAGTCTTCATGACATACAGGAAGGGAAGAAAGTGCTGATATATTTGCTAGACAAATGGGGAATGAGAGGACAAAATGGCCTGGAGAATCAGAGACTCCTGCCCTTATCCATTTATTCATTTGTAATAAAGTTTTGAAGAGAGCTAGCATACTAAGAAAAAAATTAAGCTGACAGGTTTGTTACTATATTATAAGAATTTTGTAGAGTAGTGCTAAAACCTGCTTTTTAAAAAAATATTTTATCATTGCTTTCGTTTTTTATGTGTATGAGTGTATTGCCTGCATGTATGTAAGTGCATCTGTGTCATGCAATGCCCATGGAGGTCAGAGGAGGGTGTTGGATCCCCTGGAACTGGAATTGTTAACCACCATGTGGGTGCTGGGAACTGAACCTGGGTCCTCTAGAAGAGCAGCCAGTGCTCTTAACCACTGAACCATCTCCCCAGCCCCAATCCCTGCATTTTGACTACATATCTTTCTTTTAACTTTAATTTTTTTCACCTTAAAAACTTTTTAAAAGTGCCTATCTATTGCTTTTTTTCCCTTTGTAGTTTTCTTTTTAAAAGAAGTACCAAACTGGAAGACTTGCTCCTGCTAAGCAAGTGCTCTACCATTGAGCTATGTTTACTTTTATAGTTTCTGAATTTCTTGTCATGCTTAGAAACATTTCCCAGATCCTAATGTTGTAAAAAATGTTATCTTATATTTTCTTCTGACATTCAAAGATTTAACTATATTTATGTTTAAACATTTACCCATCTGGCCCTTATTCTTCTTTTAACTTTGTTTTTATTGAGATAAAATTCACATTACATGAGATTAAGCATTTAAAGTGAACAATTCAGCATCATTTAGTACAGTACAGTCATTTTCAGACCCAGAAGGAAACCTTGCATTCATTAAACATCCTCCTCCCTTCTCCTTATCCCTGAAGTTTATCCTAATCTAATATCTCAGTAGATTTATACCTATTCTGAGTATTTGATATAAATGGAAGCATAAGTCTGACTTCTAACACTTAGAATAATATTTTTGATTTTCATTTCATTATAATAGGTATTAATACTTCATTTTTTTCGGTGGCCAAATAATATTTCATTATTAGAGCCAGGCATGGTGGTACATGACTTTAATCCAGCACTTGGGAGGCAGAGGCAGGCAGATCTCTATGAGTTTGAGACCAGCCTGGTCTACATAGTAAGTTCCAGGCCAGCTGGGGCTATAGGGAGACCTTGTCTCAAAAAGACCCAAAAATAAAATAAATAAATAATATTTCTTTATATTGTCTGTATCACAAGTTGTTTGTACATTCATCCATTGATGGACATTTAGAATGTTTACATCTTTTGTCTGTTGGGAATAATGACTATTGATATACTATATACAAGAATTTGAGAACCTGTTTTTAATTACTTAAGATAGATAGGAGTGGGATTGTAGCATTTATTCTGAAGAATGAGAAATAAATTCTGCATTTTCCAAAAGGCTAGGCTTTTGTTTTTGTCCCATTTCTTTTGTTTTTGTCCCATTTCTTGTTACCTTTCCATTTCTAATTTAAGATGGTTTCTTTGATATATGATTGTTCTGGTTCTGTTTTGTAACTATGACAAATATCATGATCAAAAGCAACTTAGAGGAGGAATGAGTTTACTTGGCTTATACTTCCAGGTCACAGTTTGAGGAAAGTCAAGCCAGAACTTAGTAGGAACCTGAAGCAGAAATCATGGAAGCATGTTGCTTGCTGGCTGACTCACTGACCCATACTTAGCTAATTTTCTTGTATAGCCTAAGACTACCTGCCTGAGGAAGGATACTATCCACAGTGGACATCTGCACAAGTCAGTCTGAGCTGGGAAATCACTCAGTTAAGATTCCCTTCTTGGACAACTCCAGGCAATGTCAAGCTGACAGTTAAAGCTAACTAGGACACTCCTTATTAACTTGACACTAAACACATCAGTTGAAAACATAACCTTTCAATCCTTATCCCCAATGCTCTCATGTTTGTATCATAATATAAAATAGAGTACAACTTCAAAAGTTCCACACTCTTTTAAAAATTCCAATCCTTTAAAAGTTCAATATTCTTTAAAACTCCAAAGTCTCTTAACTGTGGGCTCCTGTAAAATCAAAACCAAGTTACCTGCTTCTTTATTCCAAAGGGAAGAATTGGGCCATAAATACAGTCATGCTTAAGCAAAACCAAAATCTAGCAGTGCAAAGCCAAAAGGCTGGGCTGTCCCAACATCCCCAGTTCTGCCCTCTGCAACACACAGAGCTTATCTTGTGGGTTGGTGCCAGCTCTTCTCCATACCTCCTGCTATCCTCTGTGGACATCCCATGGTCCCAGTGTCTCCAATATCCTGGGGTCTCCGCAGCAACTGAGACTGCACCTTTATCAGTGGCCTCTCTTGGCTTCTTCACAGGGACTCTGACACTGCCACATGGCTGGTGCCAAGCCTTCGGTTCTCTCCATGACTCCTTCAATCCTGTAGCTTTATTGCCTTCAAAACCAGTACCATGTGGGTGACTCAGCACTTTGCCAAGTTTAGCTTCCAGCTTGAGATATAGCCTTGGCCCCCTTGGGCTACAGCTTCTGTGTCCTGACCCTGAGGAAATACTTTCCTACTGTTCCAATGAGGTATAGAGGATTTCATCTCAATGATGATGATCTCTCATTAATCACAGCTGATTTTTTAGTCCTAATTGACCAGAATCCTCTTGTTCTTGAAGTACAACAGGTTACACTTCAGTAGTGTTGATCTTTTATTAATCACACCTCTTCAGTCCCAGCTGATCAGTACACACATATTCTTAGCAAAAATATCACAGGAATGTCCTCTAGCACAGTTCTGATAGAATATTTGCTTCCCTCTGAAACCTCACAAGCCATGCCACCACAGGCCATATTTATCCCAGCATTTTACTCTTCCAATCTCTCACAGAATGGTCCATTAAGCTCCGAGCAGTCAGTGGCTTTCCAGCACAAAGTTCCAAATCCTCCAAAGACATAAAAAGCCATATGGTTAGGTCCATGAGCAACACTTCATTTCTCTTGTACCAATTCCCATTGTAGTTTCATTCTGTTGTTATGGCAAACACCATGACTGAAAGCAACCTATGGGAGAAATGTGTTTATTTGGTTTATGTTTCCAGGTTATAGCCCATCATTAAGGGAAGTCAGGGCAGAACTTAGTAGGAACTTGAGGTAGAAACCATGGAAGAATGCTGTTTACTGGTTCACTTGTTGGCCCATGCATAGCTACTTTTCTTACACAGCCCAGGACCCCTTGTCTGGGGAATAGTGTTGCATGCAGTGAGCTGAGTCCTCTTATATCAATTGATAATCAAGAAAATCCCCTACAGACATGCCCACAGGCCAAATCTGATCTGGGAAATCCCTCAATTGAGACTCCCATTTCAGGTAACTCCAGGCTGAGTCAAGTTCACAGTTAAGGTTAATTAGGACAATGATAAATTCCCATACATACTTGGGTCTATTTTTAGTCTTTTTATTTGGTTCCTTTGGTCAGTCTTCAGACTGTATATTAAAAGTTCTTCCTCATCATGGCCATTTACTTTCTCTTTTAATATGTAGAGAGGATAGTCTGCCACTCACATCTACTTTTGTCCCCAGTTGTTTTTTTAATTTTCTTTACTAGTTCCATGCTTCCACATAGTTTCATTCTTTTCTATTAATGATAATGTGACTACATAATTATTTTTCTTCCTAACATTCATGTGAAAAATTACTGGATTCTTTTTTTTGGTCG